TTTCCGAGGCAGTATCACTACAGAAGTAGGATTGCCCAACCTTCCTTCCGAGGAGTGGCTGGTGGGTTTGAACCGCCAGCCGTCTGGTTAGCAGTAGAAAGGGGCAAAAAAGCTGCCTTATTTTGTTGACCTTAGCTGTCTGAACTCTGGCAGTCTGATGGGCCATCACTGAGGAAAGCATGTTCTCTAGGGCTAGATTCTGGGTTCTCTGGTGGGTACCAGTAAGCAGTCAGAATAACGAAATGCCTGTCATTTAAGAGCTTTGATGTTTGTTTTAGCTTTGTTGGTTTGTTCTAAATTTTTGCAGGTTATAGTTGGATGTCCACACCAAGGAAGGGGATTCTGTGTTTGTTGTTTTTAACCAAGTTGTCGGTCTAAGATACATGTAATTCATGTATGGAGTGTTGTCATTTTCTTCCTTGCCTTTATCAGTCTTAGGAAGCTGCTCCCGAAGCTTCAGCAGAGTTGTTTATGTCATGGTCTCTTCACTACAGGTTTACCTGCTTTGGTGGTGTCAGTTGTTCTCGCAAGCAGAAACCAAAATGAAGTCTATGGAAAAGAAAGTTATGGAAAAGAGCAAGGTGATGAATTGTAAGTAAGAAAAGCTCACATGGAATGTATCTGTGATGAGTACACGTCCCGTGCTTCTTAACGTTTGGTATGTTTCCATGGCAGCAGGGAAGCTCTCATTTTAAAAAGTTGGAGTTAGTTTGCATGACGTTTCTGAGGTCTCCACCACAGCACAGACTAGTTCAAGTGAATGCCCTAAAATGTTTGCACTGCTCCCGCATTAGCGTTGTACTATGCCATTTGGGCAAATTCAGAAGACTACAGTTTATCTTCCAGCCTCAGAAGATGCATTCTGTTTAAGAATTGTCCCTAATATTTTTACCTCCTCAAGTCCACACACATCTTCAAGAAATTAAATAGCAGTTCCCAACAGTGAGCGATTCATTACTAATACGAGTGCTCTGTAGAAACTCAGAGAATGTAGACATCAGTGAGTTCCTGAGATTAAAGTTTTATATTCATTTTGGCAGTTAGTCTTTCATATTTTAGAAAGTGCTCAATAAATTTTTATTGACTGAATCAATTACTGAATGACTAAAGAGCTTATTCTTGAGAGATCTGTGTCATATTTTTATGCACATTTAATGAATTGATAATACTTTTCTATCCAATCTGTGTTCCTTTCCCTCCATGGCCATCCCTTCTTCTGTATTTCTAATGTAGCACTCAAAAGACAGCACAAAACCTAGGAGTAAATGAGGGATCATGACTAGAGCTTCCAGGAGACTTCCCTGTAAAGGGAGGTTAGCTCTAGGGACAAGCAGTCTTATTTTGGAGACATTTATCATAAGATATTTCTAAAGTAGCAGTTAATCCATGTGTTCTTAATAAGAAGATTTAAAAGTTATGTTTGTCAACTATGACAGGGCATTCCAGCACTGTATATTACATTACTGTGTCATCAACAACTCTCATTTATTGAGCATGTATTATATGCCAGGAATAATGTCAGGTTCTAGGATCCAAAGATGTTCAAGACATAGCTTTTTCCTTCGTGGAAGTTGTTTCAGTGTGGACAATATCACACAAGATGACAACCATTTACAGCGGAATTTTAGAGAATAATTTAATTGTTTTAAATAATTAATCTAGTTTTTGAGATACTTAAAGGCTTCTATAGAAGCTCTTGTGATGCACTGCCTAAGGCATTTGACTGCTAACCAGCAGATTGGGGGTTCAAACCCACCAGCCACTCTGTGAAAAGAAGATGGGGCAATCTACTTCTGTAAAGATTTATTGCCTTGGAAAGTGAATGGGGGCTGCTATGATGGTATTGACTCGATGGCAGTGAGTTTTTTGGAAAGGCTTCTATAGAACTAATTAGGAACTGGGGGATCTGCAAAGTGCAGTATATATCAGCTTTACTTGTAGTACACTTTACACATGGTAGTTTTAAAATTCCTTTTATATACACTTGATCTTCATATAATTCTAAATGACAAATACATCATTTTTTGGCTCAAAATGACTCTACGATCACTGTAGAATTTTTAACTGTACATGAGAAGTTTCAGGATAAGAAAAGTCCAGTTCTATATTAAAGTCTTGCCTCGGCTAGACCACTATGTTAACAGGAATTATTTTGTCTAGTGACACAGTGTGTGTCACTTAAATAAATACGAATGCACTTTTCTCATATGACAAGAAACATGGAAGTAGGTAACTATTGGCATACGTTTTGTAGCTGAGAATGTCAGGATCTGTAGCTTTCTTAGCCTTTCTTCCATCAGCTGCAACTTCAGAGCTTGCTTTCATATTTGAAGCAGGAGAGGGAATAAGAACCTTGTCAGCCCCGTCCATCAAAAATACTCATTGTCCTCCAGTTGGTTCTGACTCGTAGTAGTGCTATAGAACAGAGTAGGACTGCCCCATACAGGTTCCAAGGCTAGAATCTTTATGGAGCCAGATTGCCACATCTTTCTCCCACAGAGCATCTGGTGGGCTCAAACTGCTGACCTTTGGGTTAGCAGCTGAGCACTTAATCCACCGAGCCATGAGACTCCTTATTCCCACCAGGAGAGGGAATAAGGGCCTTGCCAGCCTCCTTCCATCAAACACAGCTCTCCCAAAAATCCGTTAGCAGACTTTTTCCACATTATTTTCTAGAACTGTCACATGGTCACCCTTAAATTCAAAGGAGGTTGAGAAAATGAGTACTTAGCTTTCCCATTCTTTACGATACAGGCAGACAAGATAAAAGCAGATTAGACATGGTTTGGAATGAACCAATTAACATTTACATTAAGGTAGAATTAAAGTAGCCACCTAGTTTCTTTTTAACTGTTGATGTAAATGACTAGCTACGAAGATGAAGGTCATCAAAGAAAGGAAAAGAAACTGATGAAACAATTGGAGAAGAAACTAAGACCCACAGAAGCAAAGTAACTTCTCAGGGCATTTGAAAGAACCCTAGTCATGAAATCTGCAGCAGTGTAAACTAAGATGGGTGGTAAAGTCTTGAGTAAACAAAACATGGTGACAATCTCTTTCTTTCTTGTTTCTTCCTGTGTTTTCAGCTGTTGGATTCAGGATCCAGTCATATTTTATGTGACCTGTGCTGGATATTTCGGAGTCATGTTTTTCCTGAATGTTGCCATGTTCATCGTGGTAATGGTGCAGATCTGTGGGAGGAATGGCAAGAGAAGCAATCGGACCCTGAGAGAAGAGGTTTTGAGGAACCTGCGCAGTGTGGTTAGCCTGACGTTTCTGCTGGGCATGACGTGGGGTTTTGCTTTCTTTGCCTGGGGACCCTTAAATGTGCCTTTCATGTACCTCTTCTCCATCTTCAATTCATTGCAAGGTAAGATAAATGGTACCTGAGAATTTTCTGCTAATTTTACCATATTTGCAAGCAACTTCACTTTTGGACAGAAGCCGTGCTAAGTTTCTACATTACTCTTTCAGATGCTGAGCATAGTTTCAAGTACACGCTGATAGAGATGGGTGGATGGATGGATGCATGAATGCATGCATGCATGCACAGATGACTGGTGTTTTGGTTACCTAGGACCACTCTGACAGGAATATACCACAAATGGGATGGCTTGAACAAACAGGAGTTATTCTCTTACAGTTTTGGAAGCTAGAAGTCTGAGTTCAAAGTGCCAAGCTCTAGGGGCTGAGTGAAAGCCCCTCAACCTTGGGCTTCAGCTCTGCCTCTTGCTCCTGGTCCACTGAAGCTGGAGGCTTTTCTTCACTCAGACAGCTGCTGGCTGCTGAGGCTGACAAACCCAAGGTCAACAAGTGAAAAGGCACAGTCCTGATAATACCAAACCACACAGCAGGCCATTGATTCAAGTCCATTAAAAATCCCAAGATCAGCAGAGCATGGCAGGCTGCTGAATGAAGACTTGGCTACATGCAGGGTTCAAGTTGCCAAAAAGCTAGAGACCTTCCTCAAAGCTGTTTCTTATATACAGGAAGCAGCCCACATCTCTAAATTAGCCACTCAGCTGCTCCAGTGGATTCCACCATGGAACTGATTGCCAGTCTCACCATGGGGAATAACTACATCCAGCTGCCCAGCCATTCAACCAGGCCCAGCCAAGTTGACACACAAGCTTAACTACCACAGATGGATGGATAAAACATTGTGGGATAAATGAAACAGTATGTCAGGGTTATTTGTCTGTTTATCTTTTTTCCCAGTGATGTGTCCCAAGTACGTAGAACACTTCCAGTTAGATAGTGAGTGCTTAATAAATACATACATTGTTGTATGAATGACTATGGGGTGGCAAGTATCTAGCTGAGAGCCTATTGGGAGGTTTAAAGGGATGCACAGACAATTTTACCTCCTTCACTGGGTGTTCATTCTATTCATGGAAACTTTTTCCATGTAGTTTTCTTTTTTTTAATACATTTTATTAAAA